TAGCCATAGCTCGATACTCCGCTTCTGCGCTCGATCTTGCCACCACGGTTTGTTTCTTGCTCTTCCAGGTGACCAAGTTTCCTCCCACAAATGTGCAATAACCTGTGGTTGATTTGCGATCCGTCCTATCTCCTGCCCAATTTCTTCACTCTTCATACAGTTGCCTTGCGTCCAAAGTAACCGAAGCTTCTTCTTCATAGTCTGCAGAATCTCCAACCTCATGTACTCCATTTCTTTGTTCTTCAACATTCCCCCTCAAGATTGGCTTTCCGAATTCAATGAGGCCAATCTTGGAGAGTAATCTGTTAAGAACATAAGAACTTGTAGCTTTGGTTAGAATGTCTGCAAGTTGATCCGAGCTTCGAGTATATCTTGGTGCAATTAGTCCTTGAGTGACTTTTTCCCGTATGAAGTGACAATCCACCTCGATGTGTTTCGTTCTCTCGTGAAACACAGAGTTAGCATAACTTTGGGCAGATTTCCTCATGTCACCAACGGCTAGCTCTCCATGTGAAGTGGGCTTTGCTGAGTTTAGGCCCAAAGTGAACTCAGCCCAAGGCCATGTAGTGGGCTGAACGTCTCCTTCTTCACTCTTCATACAGTTGCCTTGCGTCCAAAGTAACCGAAGCTTCTTCTTCATAGTCTGCAGAATCTCCAACCTCATGTACTCCATTTCTTTGTTCTTCAACATTCCCCCTCAAGATTGGCTCTTTGCGTCACTACTTGGTGACGAACGATGGTGACGCTTAATGCGTCATTTATTAGTGATGATTTGGTTACGCAATTGTATCACTATTTAGTTACGCAAATTCGTCACTGTTACGTCACCAAATGGTGACGAAATGCCTGCGTCATCCCAGCATCACCAATTGGTGACGCTTGGTGACGAAATTGCAAATGGTGACGGTGCTATTGGTGACGCTTTTTTTGCGTCACTATTTCGTCACCCTTTGGAAAGGGTGACGCAAAATCGCCCGATGGTGACGCAAAATTTGCGTCACCATTTCCATGTTTTTTTGTAGTGTAAGTTTGGGGTTGAAGACGGCTTGATGGCACATCGAATTAGGGTGAAACCCTAGATTTCGTGGCCTGAAAGTGTCTCCCAGAGTTTTGACTCGGACAGAGTCAGAGTTTTGACTCGACCGAGTCAGAACGAGTCAGAGTTTTGACTCGACCGAGTCAGAATGAACCAAAATTGAACAGACTCGGCCTCACAGACTTCTGACTCAGACCGAGCCAGTTTTGACTCGGACAGAGTCAGTACAGAAAGTTGTCCGGTTGACAAGTTTTGGTTCAGATTGTTCTGTAGATGATTTCGGCTTCTGACTCGGACCGAGTCAAGTGTTGACTCGGACCGAGTCCGTTGATTAGACTTTGTTAGATACAATTGTTGCATCGTTTCAAGTGTCTAAGCCGAGATTCTGATTCTACCGATATGATCGGAACATCTTGATTGAACTGACTTGAATTCAGTCAAGATTTCATTGTGTTCAAGTCACATATACCTCATGAAATCTCAAGCTATTACCGCCCATTAGTAGAGCAACTGTCAAGGCCTCGATCGTCATGGTTACGGGTCATGCCCTAGCTGAGCGTGCCTGATTATCTTGGTGAGGCAGTATGGAGAAATCGTGATTCTCATAGCTCGAATATGGTTGAGCTTGAATTGGGTTATCAAGTCGGACTTGGAACTGATGGTAAGGATGGGATGAGGAACATGCAGTGATAGCGTATCACTATCCCATACACATCTAGGAATCACATAGGATGTGATTGACAATGTGTTGTCTACCTAAATAACATGTTTTTTAGCGTCATGCCCTAGCTGACTCAAAAGCATGTGAAATATGGATCCTAGCTCACTTAGAAACTCATTGAGGGTGTTTTTCTTAGTGGGAGCCTGTCATATTGCATCTATTATCTGTGTTAGTATGTGTACTAAGCGACTTGCATGTTTTTCTGTCTGTTTGTTTGTCTTTTTCTGTAGAATATGACTGCTGCAGGTAATCTGGCTAATCTCTCCATGCGATCCATCCTGGATCGGGAGAGACTCACTGGTGGAAACTTTCTCGACTGGTACCGCAACCTGAGAATTGTTCTCAGGCATGAGCGGAAAAAAGTGTTCATTGCCAGGAATGCGACTTTTATGGAGCGAGAGTTCGTCTCCAAAAGAGTCAGTGGGAGTAGGATCGAACTTGAGGAAGTTCGAGAGCAGCAAGTAGACGCTGAGCCGAGTGAACAAGTTGAAGAAGTTCAACCTGTTTCACTGCCCGCTGTGCCATCCATGTCGGTCTTCTTCTTGAAGATCCACTTGCATCCGATGGGTTTTATCCCTTCAGATGCATCAA